CCCGCGAATTCCACGCCCGGCTCTCTGGCGGGGCGAGCTTCTCTGTGTGACGAGCGTCGATGGGGTCCAGTGCTATTGGCATGATTCCTGAACATGCGCGTGCGCGTCGCGGCCTGATACGGTGCCCTTCCTGGTCCGCGTTCTGGCCTCCGCACCGGCGCACGCCGCTTCTCCCTCGTAAGCCCATCCTTCCTAGGCCTCCTTCCCTGCGCTGTCGGGTTCTCCCCGCCTCTCCCCGGGTTACGAGACCCTGGCTTCTCGCCGGAAGTCTTCATGTCTCCATTGACGGCCGTCCGCGGGCACATCCTGCCCAAACTGCACGCTCCAGCTCTCAGGTCAGAGCCAGCGCACTCGGAGGCATTGCGCGCGGGCGTCCTGTGCCAGAGGTGGCTGCAGCCTGCTAAATCGGTTACGTATGGGCATCCAGCCAATGTGATCACCTGGATTCTGCACCCCCAGCACGAACAGTGCGTCTAAGCCGGCTCAAGCCCGCGCGCGTCCGTCTCATCTGGGCTAAATACGTGTGCGCCATTATTAGTCCAGCCCTAATTTCCGCTAAGGCAACCATGTAGACGCAGTGCTTGATTTCGATATAGAGCGGCCCGGTCTGTTCGCAAACGGGCACTAAACGGCGGGGACCTAGACCGTTTTGACGACGACCGCCGTGCTTATTTCGCGAGAGGGATCCCGAAGCCCGATTCCGAGGGAGCGCTCGGTGGAGACTGTGGAGGAACGAGGGTGTGGAGCTCCCTCGGAGCTCTCTTTCCAACGATCTGAGGCCCTCGACGGGCTGCTTCTCGTGGAGCGAGATCCGCGGGTCCTTGGCGCGGCCTTGTTTCTGCTGACAGCGGGACGGACTGCACGGGAGGTTCGAGTCGACTTCTCCCCGCCCTCGAGTACGTGTCTTCAGGCTGTTCCGCGGTGTCGAGAATGCCGGTGACAAGCTTCGCAGCACGAAGGTTTCGTGCGGTGCAGGCAGACACCGGACGACGTCTAGATCCGGTCTATTGACTCGCGCAAAGCGAACTCAGCATGCGTTGCGCAACTCAGTAACTCAGTTACTCAGCTGTCCCTCTCGAAGCTTGAGCTTGAACGCGTGGTACACGCACACGAACGCTGTGCGGCGGGGCCGGCTGCCAGAGCTTCTCCCATTGAGTACTGAGTCCTCGCTGCGTGCATTTCCGATTGATTGCTCACTTGCAGCTGGTTCGACACGTCCACGGTGGCCGGCGTCGCTGTCCATCGCGGCGCGGATTATCTTTGGGGCGTCAACGTCCGAATCTATTGCACGTCTGGTGCAGCGCACTCTGATTCCGCGATCACAGAACACGCCATCACTGGTCTGTGGATGCATCGCTGGTAGCACGAGCGTCAGGACGTGACTCACGATCGCATGCACACACCGTAAGTCGTATAGGCGTACATATGTGACACGCAGGGCCGGGCTTCTAGTGCAGGCCGTTCCGGAGGGCGGGCGATCAGCGAGACGCCACGACGCGGTGCAGCGATACCTGCTCTGGCCGACTCTGTTCGCTCGCGGCGCAGCCACGAAGGGAGGGTCAATCGCCCCAGCCTGTCCGCGCGAACAAGGAGAGGGTGATCAGCTACAGACCCTCCCACCCAGATCGCTATCCAACGCACCGCGTCCGCGTCTGCCGCACCTTTACGTGGCGCCCGCGTGTCCACTCTATCAGTGCATCACTTGCCTGGCACACACCGCTGAAGTACTGAATGAGGAGCCAAGGCGGAAAGAGGGACGGCACGACGAGGGTCTCGAGCGCGATCCGGGGTGCTGTCACTCGCAGCTGAGGGGCTCTGAGACGTCAGCCAAGCTCCCGGGTTCGTATGCACCGTCCGAGATCTGCTGCCAGTGCCCGTGGAGCAGCCAGGAAGCCCCAGCTGCAGGAAGGGGTCGCGGTTCGTGTGTTCTCGATTGTCCGCGCGAGCCGCCGCAGGGGCCCGCTGCCGGCAGGACAGGGAGGGGGTGTCGCACCAGGTTAGCAGGCTTCCCGTTCGAGCTGCCATGGGCTTCCCCGGGCGTCCGTATCCTCCCACTGCTGCCAGTCCACGTACCACCCGCCGGGCTCGTGCGCAGTGCAGGGTCGATAGGAGGATGACGCGCGCGCGAAGTCTGAGGCTCACATCGACGTGGCAGATGCCAGCAGTCCTGCAGGTTGGTCTGGGCAGCTGCTGCGAGCGAGCGCGCGCCCGCGCGATAAGCCCCTCCCAATTTGCAACCAAACACACGAGAAGCCAGGCCTCTACGTGAGCGGGAGGTGCGCGCCCGGGGCAGGGCAGGGAAGGCCTTGATGGTGCGTGATACACGCACGATGCAGGCCGAACAGTGGCACACGCGCTCAGGCGGGCAGGCGATTAGAGCGTAATGTTGTAGTAACATTGGTGTCAGATTGCAAGCAGTGGACTAGTGCGGGAGTGTGTACGCTACGATGGGGAGACAGCAGGATAGCAGTGGCACGGCGACTCGGGACGTACGCGAACGATCAGGGTACATACTAGGTGAATTACTAACGCTATGGTCCGGCCGTGGCGCGAGGCGAGGCTGGACAAAGGGGGTAGGGTAGTGGCAAGGAGAAGAAAGGAAGAACACGAAACGGAGGCGCGAGAATACATAGTGGACCACAAGACCGGGCAGACGGAGATAAGCAGGCGATCATGGGATGACACAGAGACCGGGGGCGAGACCGAGAAGGCGAGTGGATGGGAACGATGAGAGAAAAGATGCAATAATATCCGCAGGCAGATGACGAAACATATGATGGCGCTCGTGAGTCTTGACAGACGGGGTCGTTGCTACGGGTCGCGCAGCATCACGCCCCAGAAGATGGGGTGATTGGTGATGGAAGAGGAGGTAGGATCGCGCATCGTCCTGCGAGCGAGCTCAGCCTTGCGCAGCGAGACTGGGCGTGTCCCGGGGATCCGCCGGAGGCTGGGGCCTCGAGGACGTGTTGGGGATGCACCTCAACGGGCTGTACAACGTTGGGCGGCTTACGAGCGCGGGCGATAGCTGTTGGCGTGCGTGGTGGGCGGACGACGCGGTGTCTGGGTTGTTGTGGTCGAGGGTGGCTTGGGAAGCACCGAGGACGGAGAGAGCGAAGATGGACCTGCACGCGGGCTACCGGTCCGACCGACGATGCTAGCGGGTCATCGACGCGCGACGTATCGCCAGTACGTTGAGTTCGGAGGCTGCAGATGGACCGAGATTAGACGCGTTCCGACGCGTTGCAGAGAGCGCAGTACATACCTGAGTGCCTGGGGTGGAGTTGTCTGCGAGCGGAGCGCGTTAGGAGGTCCGGCGGTGAAGAGAGGCGGAACACTCACGAGGTCGGATACACTCCCAGATGTCAACGCCCTTGCCCTTCGGATCCCAGACCCCGCATTGCGAGTGCAAGGCCCAGTAGATGTTGAGCTCCCAAATGCGAGTTGCGTCGCTGACAAGACCGGGCATGGCGCAGGCGGTGGGTGGGAGACGAGGATGCTGGGACAGACGGGGAGGGCGGAGGACGCCTCGGAGAGGAAGAGGGGATGGCAGAACGGCTCGGAGAGCGGGGGAGGAGAATATAAGGGGCCGGGAGGCTATGGGGCTTTCTTTATCGGGGAATCATGGTTACCAGGAGATTTATAGCGGGGAAGAAAAGACGCCGGGTGTAGTGAGACGGTGGTGTGTGGACTGGGCAGCTGATGACATAAGCCTTCTCTTTCTTCAAGCATCTCCATGACGTCCGGCATCCGCTCCATCTTCAATCTCCGCGCCAATCCCGGCGCGCCCCCGTTCGCGCTCCGCCCGCTCCCCGGCCGCTGCTCAGCGAACGCACTCCGGCAGCGCACGGGCCAATCATCCTGCGCGGGCGGTCCCGGCCCATCGCGATAGCTGGTGGGCGAGCGAATGCGCGGATCGATAACGCGCCGGTGACGTTTGCAGGCTGCTCGTCGTGGTCACCCGCCCGCGTCCGGCGACATGCATTGTCCACAAGCCGCGCCCTCTGGTAGCTGGCAGTTGCCGTGCCCGGAGTGGCGGCGCGCGTGTAGCATCAATCGTCCTCTCAGAACACAGGCTCCCACCAAGCCGCAAAAATTTGGGGTCGCGCCGCGCGCAGGGCGGCCTCTTCCCAACCGCCAGGGGCGCCAGCTGCTGCGAACAGCCGCCATGGTGATTGGCCGAGGCGGCTGCGGGCCGCGGCTGCCAAATTGAGGCGGCAAAATAGTGGGCGCCTGTGCTGGGTGCGCGCCGTCGAGGAGCCAGTCGAGACCATCCCCACGTCCAGGGCGTTGTGGAGCCCACACCAGCCCTTCTGGCCGAGACCGCGGCCCGCGGTGGTCCCCGAGCGAACCACCGCTACGTCCGACCTGCGAGCGCCGACTCGGACAGCGCATGGCCGCTTCCCCGCCCGTTTCATCTCGTCCCGCCCCGTGTGCGCTGCCCATTCGACGCCACACCGCACACAAACGAACCGTACGTACAACCTTGCCGGCCTCGTTGCTCGTCTCATTGTCCACCGTACCTCGTTTCGTCTACACCGTCGGTTCTCGCGGGCACGCGGCCCTACGCGGTGTTCGCCCTGCAGCACGTCGCAGCCTGTCCAGCCTCGCTCGAACCGCCAATTTGTCGTTTGATCGCTGTGCGGCCTTTGTCCAGACCAAGGAGCCCATCGCAAGCCATCCGTTGGACTCCGACCAAGCGTTCTGGATCGCCGTAGGTTCGGCCGACTGCAACATTCCGAGTCACCGTCCGTACACCCCATTGGATCTTTGCCTGGCTCGGTGCGTTCAGGCGGACGAATGATGATCAGCCCAGGATCAGTCATTGGAAACTGTACACACGAGTACGTTTGTTCCAGACGCCGATGCGAACGGCGGAATGCAATCTCGACATTCAAGTAAGTAGTTCCAATCTGTCGCATGCTTCCACAAACACGCTTAAGAATCATCCCGTAAGTGCTAATTAGCTATGAAGTCCCCAATCTTGCTAGACCCCTTCCCGGAAATGCGTGCACATGCGGAGGTCGTCGGGCCTTTGTCTGACCTCGCCCGTCGAGCGATTCGCACGCGCTACCGGTCCTCAACCAAAAAGTCGGGCTAACTCGCCCTCAACATTCCTCGTTATGGTGGAATGTTTGGTTGGAACACCCTAGCATACCAAGGCCGACACACTCCACTGTCAGTGTGCGCGCTTTTGCATTCGGGGATGATGGAATTAGCTGGCAAACCCATGGTACGTGTCCTGGATATTTCAATTGGACCCCGATCACATCTATTCTCGCTCACTGCAACATTCCGACTCATCCGCTTCCCGCCCAGTGAAGTAGGCACTGCCGTCGTCCTATCACAAGTCGCAGCCGCGCGACACTGCCGCGACGCGCGCGTGTGAAGTGCGGTACAGCACCTGCTGGGCTGGGATTCTCGGGCGACATGCCGAGCGATGCAGACGCAGCAGACGCACTCCGTGATGCATGCTCTCTTCATCATTCGACGAAAGCCGCCGGCGTACCGGGGCGCGCGCGGGGCTGCTACGGTACCTCCCACGCGACGTCCACACTCACTGACAGATGCTGAGCAATTCTATTCTGTTCCATCATCTAGAAAGAAGGGCTACTGTGTCTTAGAGAGGACGCGCGGTAGCAATGGCTTCGGAAGTCATCAACGCCGTCATGTTCTTCCACACATGGTGAAATCTGCTGCTGCGTGTACTGTATTTCTCGTCTGATGTTCAAGTTCTTCCGACTGCGCGGAACATGGAATGCGTCTGTCAGGTTCGTCGACAGTCAATCTTTGGCCATCGCAACCACCGCTCCCGGCCACAACATACCTTTTCTGCCGGACGACATACCGATGAAATTCGGCAAGACCGACATTCGTTCATTATGGTGGTCCCCAGAAGCGGGTTCCGACCGTCGCACAGTGGCTTCGGAAGTCATCAACGCCGTCATATTCTTCTGCACATGTTGAAATCTGTTGCTGCATGTAGTTCTCGTCTGGTATTCTTCCGAATGCGCGGGACATGGAATGAAGCAGCGGTGGCTTAACAATTTTGTCCACTGTTTGTCAGGTTTGTCAACATCTAGTCTTTGGCCATCCCAACCACCGCTCCCGGTAACAGCACACCTTTTGAATTTTCTACCGGACGACATATGTACTGATGAGATTCGGCAAGACCGACATTCGTTCATTATGGTGGTCCCCAGAATCGGGTTGCGACCGTCGGCCAGGCCGCTCAGGCCGTGGCCGCGCCCGCCGATCTTGATCTCCCCAACAGATTGTGATGCCCGCGTCCCGATTGGCTGAGGGCGGGAGGAAGGTAAAATGCTTATAATTTCGCTTAGTTGTGCGGCTGCGTAGTGGATCCGGACCTCGTCCTTTGACTAATGATTAATGAACGTTGCCAATGGGCCTCTCCATGTCCAATTCATGTCAGCCAACGGCCACACCTATAAGCTCCCAACCTATTCCTTTTACGGTAAATGCCTAGGCTCCTTATGATTAGATGAACCTAGGATAACTCGGGAAGTAGAGCTTGTTCTAGATGTCCCAGCAAAGTTGAAGAAGCATCGAGAGAATGAATTGCTACTAGCATCATGTGCGCGCGAAGAGGGCCTCGATCGTGTTTAATGTAGTCGGAGATGTGGCAAAGGGATCAAGGAAGGATAGCACCGACCTTGTCTGCATCTGATTTGGAGCGTACCGACTCTGCGAGGTCGTACGACGCCGCGAAGAAATGCCGGTGCAATAGCTACGGGTTTAGAGGACAGGTGGCCTCTCCAATGACACACGGGGAACGAAAACGTCTTCATACAATCTGAACACATCGCTCTCAAGCTGCCAACATCATACGCGAGAGCGTAATACATAGTACGATGAGCGTAATCGCTGACAGGCTGTACAGTGCACGGACCCGCGTCTCGTGATAGACAATTTCAAGGTGAGCCCCGTCTGGAAGTATGAACGGACTCGTTCTGAATGGCGATGGCTGCGCCGTACCCACGCTGCCAACGAGCATTAAGTTAATTGCATAGGACATGAAGAGATCTGCCGTGACCCCGTTGCAACTCAACGTTAGGCTTGGACGCGCGAACCAGACAAGTCGCCAGTGAGCATTCTCAACGGGCCTACATACGTACCCGAACGGGGCACGTCGCATGCAGCTCGTGCGCGCCGTACTCTAGTCTCATACCAAGACCCTCTAGTGTGGAGGATTTGTGTCAAACCTAACCGTACTCAACTCTACATTGAAATTCGGCCGACCGGAACGACACTTTACCTGATTATCGCAGCCTCAAGAGTCAGGCGAACCACGGCTGGCTAGACACGAGGCGCAGTCGATCTACGCTAGAGACCAGGGGCAGCGTTGTGGCCAAGCTCTGATCCACAGTGCGTTTGTGCCGATGGGCCGCGGATATGCGATCGATATGCATCGTGCTTGATACTGCACGCCCAGCTTGGCCGCAGCAGACAGAATCGCGACGGTACACTTTGCCTCGTGCCCCGCGACGCACACACCGCGCCATCCATGCGCAGATCGATATCGCGGTGTGTGGTGGCCATTGGCGGCGGGTGGCAAGGACCCACATGCTTCGGTGATTTTGTTTCTGATTGATGGGGTGATTGGATTTTGGCATTGCACGATAGCGAGGCGGCGAGCAGATGCTGGAACCTGGTTCGGCCGGACGACGGAGCGGACTACGCGCCGCCGTCGGAATGTCAATCGGGTATTCACCGCAGTGTCCGCTCCGGCGAATTTGTGGCGTGAGCAGGACGGGGGCCATCGTCGCTTCGAGCCTTGTGGACCGGGAGATGACAGCGTGAGTGAACAGGTGGCTGGCACACGACGGGGAAGGACAACAGCGCCGGTCAGCGGGACGCGATATATTGTAGAAGTCCGCTGGAAGCGTACACTTCTGATTACTTGAGGAGCATTCTTCGCAGGAAGAGCCGCGGAAGAGTCCCCATACAAGGATACCGGTGCGAAGCGTTCGAACTTCGCCGGCAAATAGACGGATGAAGCTGCGGCGAGTTGGCGACAGAGGTTAAGACTCAGAGCATAGGGTGGCTTATTGCGGTAGACGGAGCGCACAAGTTGAGTATCGGTAGGGCGCAAAGTCGGAACCTGAGTTGTACGGCCTTCCCGTTGGACTGCTGTCTGGCTGAGGTCAGAGGTATCCGAGAGAGAAGCCACGTATAATCATTGAGCTTCGCACACATGTGTCTTTACGCATTCCTTATACTTAAGTGCCCGCGGGCAGGTAAACCGTGTCACAGATTCAGCCACGTTCCGCGTATCGTTAAATGTGCGGACGAACCTTCAAAGATACCACACCGAGTCCCGGGAGTATTAAGACACTCCAAGTAAGGCTGTGTCCCCTTGATGTCTCCTTGATGGCTCCCAGCTTGCATTCAGAACGGACCGCCCGATAGCTCGACCACACGAGTGAGACCCTGACAACGTTCAAGGTTCGAAAAAGAAGATGGACATCACTCACTACTAGTGACAGTACCCTGGACCGGACGTGGGCATGAGGCGCGCGACAGGCCCTGGAATGGTTCAATCTCCCCGGGCAGACGTAGACGATTCCTTCAACCTTCGTGCCTCAGGCTATCCTTGTCTGACGAATGATTCAACTTTCGACTCGAGTCTATTCGAGTTACGGCGCCATGCAAGGATCACTTCGTGAGCCACCCCAGATCCAGTGTCATCGCTGTTTCTGATTGTATAGAAGGGATATTTGTGTTGCTTTCGAGTGAGATTAGGACATACTGCGTTGGTCCAGAGGAAGTTCGGAATGAAAGCCACTGCAGACGATTGTGGACACTGGATGGGTTTAACTTTCATTATGCGCGTAAGACACGTGACAGTGTACAGTGATCGTATCCGGCGGCAGTCCCGCCCACGCTGCCTCGATCGAGCTACGACGCATGTTCCTCTCCTGCCACCAACACATCGCGGACAGGAGTCTTGAGAAATGATACAGCTATGCCGTGCAGAGGATGGACAAGTCGCTGACGTGCGCATTTTGATATCTTCATGCCGCAGGTGGCTGATGAACGCATGAACAGCTCGCGGGTTCAGTATGGGACCTGGAGAGGTGAGGCATTTTAGGGGAGGACAAGTCGTCTGAGGCTCACTGGAGAAACCAGGGAGGTCAACTTGGAGCGACTACTTGAAGAAAAGGCGGGTATTAATCAAGGCGATGGGCTTGCGTACCTTGCGGACGGGAGACGACTCACTAAGGATAATGTGCGAGACATTGCTGGAGTTGAGGACCAGGTGCGTCATTTGGTGGCCTGTGGAGGTATACTGTTACTGACTATGGGTTAGATGATCTATGTATTCAACAAACGCTACCTGGACCTGGACGTGAACGAGGTGCTGGCCGAACTGCGAGAGGAGCCGTCCATGCAACCACCAGTGGAAGGTGCGTGTTTGTTTGGCTGTCTACGGCGCCCAACTGAACCGAGACAAGATGAACTCTCCTCCACTCCACCATTCCGCATATCCCAACTCGCCACTTCGTACGAGCACACGGCACACCAGCATCATGAGCATGTCCAGCGCACTCTCACATCCTTGCACTACCAACATTCCGCCCTGCGCATCGCATCAAGCGTGCTCGACTTGCATGTACTCGCCATGGCAGACGTATTCGAAGGCGTGTCTTCCGCGGCACAGCGCGAGACTGACAAACAGGCAGCACTCCTCGGCGGTCTGGATGCGGACTTGGAGATTGTCACACGCGTGCATGTGCACAAGGAGTTCATGAGCACTGCAATGCGGAAGGCTATGGATGTCGGTGACCGCGGTAGGACTCTTGGAGACTACGTGAGCAGAGTGAAGATGCGGCAGGTTGCAGACAGCTGTATGAGAACCCACGGTAAGTGGCCATGAGGGCAGACTTTCCACTCGCGCTGACACAAAATTCATCGTTAAGATGAACTGAAGGAGCGGTTCCGCCAATCGCAGGAGGTCATGTCGAGGCTCAATGACGGAGCGCACGAGGTCCGGGAGTTTGTCAATTCCCAAAGGTACGTAGGAGAAATCAGGTTGGAGTGCTTGATGGGTGAACTTTACCTACAGTCCACTAGAAGAAGCAGAAGCATGCGCGAAGAGGGCCCAGGAGGCCTTTGATTGCATTGCGGAGTATCATGCGACACAGCAAAGTGAGTATGTTTGGACATTTCAAGCGCCCACTCTAACGAGACTCGTGCAGTACCTACTTCGCAGTTCGAGAAGGTTGTGCATGGTGCGTAGGACTTGATGCGCGGGCGCTATGTAATTGATCCATTGTCTACAGACCTTCGCCATTGGGATGGGGTGCTTCGTGATCAAGTGGAGACCATGACATCTCTCAAAGTGCGTCACAACACCCTTGTACCCACTGCTATCTTCATTCACCGCATAGTTGAATTTTCTTTCTAGAATACACATACCGAGGGTTGCATCTTGGTCTTGCGGCAGATCAGCGCATTGAATCATGAGTTAATCGAGCTGCGGCAACTGTTGACCTTGCTTCAGGGTGGTCTCAAGGCAAAGACTAGTTTCTCGCATATACAGCGGCTTCACAACATGTTGTATGCGTACGGTGCAACCGTCATAGAGATTGTCAGGAGGAAAGAATTCGGTAG